CAGTCGCGATACCCCATTTGCTATAATGTGTCCCAGATATTCAACTTCATTAACGCAAAAACGACTTTTAGCAACATTCAAAGTCAAATTAGCCCTACGAAATTATTCTGCTAATCTGATAAGAATGGACATGTCAAAAAAAAATGGACGTGTCAAAATCTTCTGACACTACACAACATCATCAAGGTAACCAAAAACACATGTTTTCAAGTCTGCAGGGATCAAGGGAAAAATTCAATTCAATTACAGAGACCAAACGGCATCACTGTCCATTGATATAGTGGCCGTCCTGGCACTGTAAAAGCTGTAATGCCTTTAGCCTCATCTGTGAGGGGTATTTGCAAGAATGCATCCTTCAGATCCAATTTGGTTATGATATTACCGCATCTATATTTGGAAGCGGGCACGCGTCTTTTTTAGTACACTCGTTTATGCGTCGTGCATCTAAACAAAGGCGTACCTTGCCTGGCTTAATAACGAGCCTCATCGGAGAGCTACAAGAACTCTTCGATGGCTCGATGACGCCTTCTGACAACATTCTGTCCACCTCTACATAGATAAGTTTTTCTACAGAGGGAGAAACGGGAGCAAAAAAAACGCTGTTTTATTGGCTTAGCGTCACTGACGTCAATATCATGGCTTAAAAGGGATGTTTTCCCAATCCCTGTTCTTTATAGTTGGGAAATAAATTAATTACGCTCTCTAATCGCTTTTCTTGAGATGAAGAAAATGAAAACTTTATTAGATTAGTATCAGTACTATCTACCATTGGATTAGAAGTATCAATGCTGGATATTACACCGATATTTACACTGAAAAATTCTCCAAAAATCTATCCCTAAGATGACACGCTTGTTTATTGATGGAATAACATAAAAATCGAGACGTTTTGTTAGCCAATTATAAGCTATATCCGTGCTTATAAAAACAGTTATTTGGTGGCTGCTTCCATCAGCTGTTCTTACACGTGATGAGATTTTTAGTAAACGTAGTAAACGAATGTCCGAGTGTGGATGTGGAGATGCCTGTTTAAAAGTACAGTATCTACAGTATCTATGGTCAATGCTCTTACTCTGTATAAAAACTCCTGAACTGTAGGGCCATTAACTGTTCCGTCATATTTTTATCCCCAACCCTGAATGATCTGGGTTACTTTCTCTGGACTCAGCATTGTATCACTCGGCCTTGTCGAAGCTGCACTAATGTGAGACACACGCGGAGATGACAGTTGCCGAGCAATACTAGGAGAATGTAAGCCGTTTGATAGGCGTAAGTTGTCAAATTTGGCTTGTATGAGATGTTCGATCCTTCTAAAAATTCTGTCATAATCGATTTCTCTAAAATAATATGCAGGAGGATCGGAAATTCGCGGCTGATAGCGTATATTTCTATTTCGACCTCCACCACCCCTAGGCTGTCGACCTTGGGTGAATGGTGAATTAATTGTTGCCTGAATTTTTTGGCTTTGTGACTCATTTAAGTCAGTTGCCCCCCTTTCGTCATCTACTTGATAATTTAGGGTTACCCCAGTATCGGGGTTTCTTTTAGTTCGTGTGTTATATACTTTGAAATAGCACCTTTACAAGTGCTTGCTCCAGGCTCTAGTTGTGCTGAGTAATGCAAGTCCTGTATTATACCAGGACACTCTGGATATTTTTCTAGATGTGCCACGATACACTGATTGTGAACTCGATGTCCACCTGCAGTAGTAACTATGTTTTCTGATGCCAGCAGATGTTCTAAACAAAGATTGCAAATAGCTTCAGGATCTCCTGCAGATGCATGTACCTGCAAGTCCTCTCTTTTGCGTGCTTAAGGCATATTTGTTCTTTAAATGTTTAGAAAAATTGTATTATAACATTTTTTTTTTTTAGTTGATCATAAAATGTTTATTTATTTATTTTTTTTTTTATTTTTTATTTATGTTTAATAATTCATAAGTTTTTTTTCCCTTATGCTATTCAGGGGAGTTGATGAAAGGGTAGTTTCAATTTTTCTAATCTATCAGCAGTCCGCTTCGGTCATACACTCGCGATGACTCTTTAATTTATAAACTTTTCTTGTTGTAGCTGAAAACCTGCATAATAGGGTGATGTTTAGCCGATCTGAACTTATCACATTCCATATTAGGCCGATTTCCTCTGCTGAATACTCCAACAATGAAAACTTATTTGACGGTAAATAGCCAACGACTCATCACATTCTAGTGACTTCGGTATCCTCATTAGAAAGTTCGATTCAGTATTGAGGTTTCTCTTCATTATTATGAATGCGTTAGTCTATTGGTAAGTTTACTTCCTTAATAGGAAATTTAGTGAAAGAGTGGGCCACATTGTATAGGAAATAGGAAATAGCAGTTTGCTACTATAGCATTTGCACTTGGGATAAGTGAAGGCGCGACCGCTTAAATTTTCAACTTATTGTTAACAGCCTATTTTCCGAAGTTAACTTGCGATTTAACAAACTCGGTATACATAAAGGCTTGATGGATTTCGCCTTCTAGTTAAATGTACCTAGTAGTTTCTGCGTGGCCCCACACTTTGGGCGCCAAATTCTGTATTTGTAATCTTTCATAGTAGATTGAGTGGTGAGATCTTTGCTAAATTGTTGGCCGTTGGGACATAATAAAGCCGTCACTCGATCAGAAAGCCACATTGAATTTAATTTATAGTCCCGTGAATATTACGTAGATGAGTAAGATTTATAATTAATGCAAAGAAAAATATTAATAGAAAGAACGAAATTCTGTTAGCTCATGGGTGTATGCTGCCGCTATGCCAGTATATCTAATGGAAATGACGTTACACTGATGGTATAGTTACCCGCCTCTGTACCCACCCTCCATGATTTACCCTTGGAACTATATGGTAAATCTAATTTATGTGTTACCCTTTTCGCTTTTTCAAATAAGGAAAACTATATTTATTTATCCAAACATTATAAGAATTTTATGTTAGCCATGTTGTCTAGTTGATAGGAGCAAAAAAAAATTAGAATTTAATTTTAGTCAAGCTAATTTAATTTAATTCTTTTTATCATTAAGTAATTACGTTAACTACAGTTTATTTATTCCATTTTTTGTTTCTTTAATTTTTAAAATATTCAATATTTTATTTCTATTTCCGGTTTCGCTTGCTAACTTTAATTGAATTTATTTAATACTTTCTTTGATTTGGTTTCTTTCGAAATTTATGTTTTTTTTTCTTATTTCTTTCCTAAATTTCGGTAAATTCTGTTTCACTAATTTAATTTCACTACATTTTTGTTTAATGTAACATTCATTTTCTTGTCTTTCACTTTAAATTTTCTCCTGTAAATTCTTTAAATGAACGGCCGGTTAAACGAATTATTTGTTTGGTTTGCCAGAAGCATCGCTTTTCTTTGGGACAATCCAAATAATTATTTTTTGTTCTATAATATCATTGATTTGTTTATTAACTTCTTGGTCAAATGCTTGGGGTATTTATATGGTTTTTTGTAGATAGGTTCTTTTTATTCATTTTCATTTTCACCTTCTTTGTACTGAATATCACTGTATTCACTGTTTCACTGTGTGAAACTTGTTACCTTTCTTCCGTATTTAGATGTTCTAATCTGAATACGTCAGATTCTCTTAACTCGTCCTTTAAGGCGTAGTTAGAGTTTGACTCATCTGGTTTTGAGTGGGGTTTCCATTTAATTTTACGGAGGTTTTCTCCTTTTTAGGAGAAAATCATTTGATTAAATTGACCGTACCACATTTTAAATGGGTAGCAATTTATATTGACTGTTTGTGTTGAATAGTTAATTTGAGTGTTGATTGATTCTAAAAAGATTCTGCCAAATAGTAAATCATATTTTTCTGAGAAATTCACATTCTTTATTCACAGAATGTTTGTTTAGTCCGACAAAGTTTGCTTGAGTGCAATGAAACGTTTTGGTTCAATACTATAGTGCCATTTATAGCGTGTACTTTCATTTTAGAGAATTAGATTGGGAAATTAAAGAAACTTTGTGACTTAAGGCTTGATTCAAGCGGGATTCAGATAATAGTTGTATCAGTAGGTTGACAACCACCGATTGTACGCAGTTCTTTTGCGGATAAATAGAGTTTATTGTATTACGATTTACGTTCACTTAGCGCCGATTAGCGAGGTTCAATCATTAAAAGATACGCTTGGTTGTACAAGGATATTTTGTCACTAGATTGATATTTGTAAACGAGTCGTACAACTTTTTCTTTTTATCCTACCGACTGCGCCATTTACAAATTCAGACCGATGGTTTAATAAAAAAAACACATGATTGAGTTTTATGTATTATTAAACCTTTTATTTGATTTTTGATTATCACTAAGTTGGAAGTTTATGTTGGCTTTAGCGGAGTTATCGCGATGGATAACGTACTCAGTACTGAACTGCTGCATTGAGACATTCTTGCTGTTTTATAGGCAATTTGGGGGAAAGTTTATTATTTTAGTTGGCTTGCCAAGTGGTCGAATGCAAATGGTTAGGCGACGAGAGTCTATGTTTATAAGGGCGACAAGAGTCTATGTTTATGATAAGACGACAAGTGTCTATATTTAAGATTTGCGATCTGTGAGAAAGGGTGGCTTTGGAACATGACGCTGTTTCCAAGGATAATCGAAGGGCTCTCGTTCTTTGATATTTTGTATTTGATATTTATTTTGTATTTATTTATTTTGTGTTAGACATTAATGTGTGTAAAGTTGTTTTAATTATCTTATGGGGAGTTATGGGTGTAAGAATTGATATGTTACTATATTATACATGGAGAATAGGGGTATTGTCCCGCGGACAACGACTTTTAGATAAGCTCTCACGTTATAGACGGAATAAACATAAACAGAGCAGGGGACATATTTATAAACCAGCCAATTGAACTCCAATTATTACAACGGTAATTGTATAATATAGTAACATTTCCATTAGGAATTTTAGTAATTACCTTTAAAGGTACATAATTTAATTTTTTTTTTGTCATGTATTATGCATTATTACCTGTTGTACTACTAGCTTATGCTTTATCTCCACAGTCGGCATATGAGATAGCATCCGTTTTAATGTTTCATTAGTCTTTTGAGCCTCACACAATTTATTTTTGATGTTAGAGTTTTCTATTGATTGCTTTAGGGACCGTCTGTTTGTATAAATAAATAATATTAGAAGATATAACAAATTATTATAATTACTCTTCAGACTTACTTTTGCAATAGTTGTAATTTTTCAAGCAATTCAAATTTCTTGGGATCTTCTCCTTTTAATATACGCCACCGATGTACTCCTGTTGGTGTTCTTGCGTCTTCAGTTAGAGCACGTATACGAATATGTTCTTGATTAAGAGCGCGCTGGAGGCGTACAATTTCCTTTCTCATGTCAGCAGTACTTTTAATTGCATGTTTTAGACATTCACTTTCAGTGTGAAGATTAGAAATCTCTTTCTTTAGTAATCTTATATCTTCCACACGTTGATTATATTGTGTTGTTCCATTATCAAGGGCATTTTGAGCAATTTGAAGCTTTTCTTTTATAACAACAATCTCGTCATTCCGTCGTACCATTTGCAATCCAACTAGATTACGTTCCTTTCTCATTTCTTCCAATTCGTGCCCCATTTTCATAAACTTTAGTTCATCGTTTGATATTGTCTTTGCTAACATTTCGTTTTTTGCTTTCATCTCTCTCATATCCTTACGTAAGCCAGCCACTAAGTTTTCTTTATTTTTAAGGTCCGATTGAAGTTCTTTTATATAATTATTGAGATGTTCTATTTTTAAATTTAAAGAATTTATTTTTACTTCGTTTGCGCTTATTTCAGTGGTCAGTTGCTGAATTTGATGACCAGATTTCTAAAATTATTAAAATAGTTTTTATGATTTCAGTTAGTAATAATACATTTTTACTGCAATGTATCTTTTGAAAGATGTAGTCACACGGATGGGCGGCAAATTAGCTTTGGTGAGTTAGCTGCGATGGAAGAAGGGGCTGTTTTTTATAATCGTATGTAACAATCTTTTTAAGTTTTTCTCTCGATCTCAATCACACTATCGTTTGTTCTTAAGACTATACATTTAATTCTATCGATATTAGTGTAATATAATATTTTACATTTATACACAGTTTACACTTAGTATTTTAAATTTATGCACAGTTTACATTCGGCCAACCTGGTTTATGATTGACCTCGACGATAATACAACGTTTGTCCAATGTATCAATCTCGCTGGTTTCAGTATACTCTTAAATAATTTCTCTCAATAATTTCATAACGGTCATTTTCAAATAATCTACTTTGTAAGGGTTGCGATATTTAGGTGCGGTTTTTAACTCTAGGTGTTGTATCAATATTACGTATAGCTACAAAATCCATTTGATGGCGCATTCTTATGTTGTGCGTGCTGGATATTTTTAATAGAATTTAAACGAATAGTGTCTAGGTCTTTTTTTTCTCTAAATTAAACTTTTCTTCAATATATTATGATTATTCGCCAACTATAGGGCCTTTTTGACTAACACCAAATAATAGAAACTAGGTGATTCTTGAGTACTACTATGAAATAATTATAAATGGCAAACTCTACTTTATTTAATAACTTATACAAATCTATTGGCTCTGATAATTTACATAACATAGGTGTCACGATTCTGTTCACCCTCTCTACTTGCCCAATGGGTTGTGGTGCACCTGTAGCCACTTTATCTATGTAACGTTCTTAAAGGAAGGTCGAAAACTGTAGAGAGGTAAAACAAAGAGGTGTTTTCATTTTGATTGTATACTTGGTAATGGTCCTAGATGATCTATGTGATTTGGAAAGGTATACATGGCTTTGGAATACTATGAAGTGTGCGATTATGAATGGTTTTCGGTACTGAGTGTAATATGCACGGTTAAAAATATCTTATAAAATATCTACTTTAATTTTCACATATTTCAGCAGCAAGATTACCTAATCTTCAACGTGACAACCTAATTATTTGTTCTTCCATGCAGCTTGGATCATGCTGACATAAGGATTCGTCACTACCCTTTTTATAAATAACGCCATCTAATATTTCAAATGCAGTGCAACTACCTTTCTCTACGGCTGATCTTATCTGCATTATTTCAGGGTAATATCCTTAGGTGTGCTTCGAGTGCTTTTAACGACTCTACTATGAAAGTTTCTATTACCTCCAATACATCTGGGTACAACCACGTTGTCTTTACTATCCTCCATGCAAAAATTATTGACTTCTATTCTCTTTGCTAATTTCACAATGTTGCGTATTTCTCCTAGGTTCTGTATCTACTAAATGTGGTTCTATATTTCCTACTCTATTCTCTGTGTTTTTACTATTCCCTACGGAATCGCTACAGGCTCAACGGTATTCTCAATATATTGATTACCCCCTATGGCCTCTATGGCATTATCAATATTTTCTTTAAGTACATCTAATACTTCCAATTGTCTACTCACTACAGAATAATAATAGTTTTCCAATTCCAATGACCATCTCGGTATTTTAGGGTTTAACGCTTAAATAATTACAACACTAAATAATTACAATCTGTCACTAATTCAAAATACCTATTCTCTAAATAAAAGTAATGCAATTATAATCGATAGGATTTCTAACTCGAAACTATGAAAACTAGACTCAGCTTCATTGGTTTTATCTGATTAAAAAGATTCTGGATGCATCTTGCCAGCGTCGCACTGTGGGCAAGATGATTTTTCTAGTGGGAGTCACATTTTTAAATAATAGGTTGGCAAATATCTCCCTTCCGCTTTTTTGCTCTTTATTCAATGCCTTATAAAAAGTGTTACAGTGATCGGATTTAGTTCAAACATGCGCCGTTTTGTTCGATAATCTGTTTCCATCTAGATGGCAACTTCATAATACCTCCCTCGTAGAAGCCCCCCTCCTTATTTGCGAAGAACTCGGACAGCCACTTTTCACAAGCCTCTTTTGAGTTCAACTTTACACCACCAAGGGCATTCGCCATGGACAGGAACAGGTGGTAATCACTTGGCGCTATGTCCGGGCTATATGGTGGATGCGATAAAACCTCCCATCCGAGCTCCCTTAGCTTCTGACGAGTCATCAACGAAGTGTGTGGTCTGGCGTTGTCCTGGTGGAACACTACACCCTTCCTGTTGGCCAATTCTAGACGCTTCTGGTCGATCGGCTGCTTCAAGCGGTCCAGTTGTTCGCAGTAGATGGTAGAATTAAGCGTCTGGCCATATGGGAGCAGCTCATAGTGGATGATTCCCTTCCAATCCCACCAAACACACAGCAAAACCTTGCTGGCCGTCAATCCCGGCTTGGCCACTGTTTGGGACGATTCACCGGCCTTCGACCACGACCGTTTTCGCTTGATATTGTCGTATGTGATTCATTTTTCGTCGCCAGTCACCATCCGCTTCAAGAATGGGTCGAGTTCGTTCCGTTTCAGCAGCATATCGCAGGCGTTGATTCGGTCCAGAAGGTTTTTTTGCGTCAAATCATGCGGCACCCAAACATCAAGCTTATTTTGTATCCAGCCTTCTGCAGATGGTTTAAAATGGTTTGGTGACTAACTCCCATCTCCTGGGCGATGTCACGAGATGCCACATGCCGGTCTAACTCGATGTATTCCATGATTTGATCGGTATTTGTCGTCACAGGTCTTCCGCCGGCTGGCTTATCCATGGTTTCGTTTTCACCGGCTCTGAATCGTCGAAACCATTCCTCCGCGGTTCGAAGTGATAGAGTACCATCCCCCAAAACACCATTAATCTCACGGAACGTTTCTCTGGCGGATTTGCCTTTAACGAAGGAAAACTTTAAAATAGCGCGAATTTCGGCGTTAGTGAACTCCATGTTTACACGTCTATAACTGTTGAACGCAATATCCAAACTAATCATAGCGTCGTTTTGTAGGTTATGTCAAGACCTTTCAAATTATGTATAGTATTGCCAGATACGAGCTCTGTAGCGCTTTGTACATAGCCGCGAAATTCAAAAGACAAAAAGGCGGAAGGGAGATATTTTCCAAACTAATATTTAAATACAGAATATTTTTTTTTTAACTGACCATATCCGCCTGAGCATAATATAAGCATAATATGAGCATTATATAATAGTTTGTATAAGAGTTTTTGTTTGTTTACATGATCAGCTGTGAGCTTTCAAAGTGAACATATGTTTCAGCGCATGGTCTGCAAATATTTGGCGTAACGGTTTCGTGTTTGTTGATTGACCTTTAATTGAAACAAAGTAAAACAAATTAATTCAACAACTTCTGTTAGGAAGTTCTAAATATTACCCGTATTTTTATGTTTAGCAAAAAAAAATGTTCGAAGTTTGTTATTTTACCAGGTATGGCATTATACTTAATAAAATCATATTTGGACTATAACTTGTTCAAGCTGATCTCACCATTAATGTTAATTTTTTTAGAATTATATCCAACTTCGACCAACTGTAAAGTCTGTTGCACTTTTTAGGTGAAATGTCAGCCCAATAGCGCGTGCTTAATTCCACTTAGCTTAGCGAAAATGATCTCGCAAACAGAGCTGTCTTTTTAAAAGGAATTGGTATTCGGTACAATTTTAAAGAACCGACAGCTCTCTGAAATGTAAAATGAAAGGATTACTAGAAAATTAACTAGTTTTATGAGCCGACTTACAGAAAATTGGAAATCATGTCATTACAACAGCTGGATGAGCCACTGTTAATATACAATGTACAATCAAATTCAGATCTGGGTTGGCCCAAGAAGGATTTTGGTGACCTGTGCCACAAAGTTCAAGCCAGAAAAGTGTGTAATCTTGTGAAGGACACCACATGTGATGAATGCTGGGAGAGAGCTCCAGCCTATACAAATCGGGATTGCAAAGCGCATCAAAAGTTTTTTGTGCATTGAATGCATATGAAATATTCTGAGTATTTTTATTTGAAAAATTACATTTTATTTGTTTCTTTTGTATTAATTGGACGTCCATTATTTTCTTTGAATCTCGTCCAAATAAAAAGTAATGGTAATAATGTAACTAACTTTATAAGCTTTTTCTTGAGATGCATGCATCATCAATGCACTCAGTTTGTGCAAAAAATAATATTTGTTGTCCACCTATTCCGTGGTATTTACTTCTTTGCAGTTTCAATTTAATATTATTTGGAACTAAAGATTTTTGAATAAAACTTACTGGGTTTCCTTTGTCGAATAAAATTAAAACTGTAATGCAACTCTCTTTACCATAAAGAAATCGTAACTTAACATAACAGATTCTAGGTCTTCAGTGCCCGCCAGTTCCTCATATCTTGGTACAGCTGCAGTGGTAGCCCCTCTTCTTCGGACAGTCCTGGTATTCGTGGTCCTGACTATAGCAGTTGAATCAGATATCTTTGGGCGTCTGCAAGCGCTCATAATATGATAATATGCCCCAATTTTCGACAATGGTAACGACGTACGGCTGTAGGTCCTTGCTGAACATTTATTGATTTGGTCATCTTAACGTTACTCGAAGTCTTCGGGTTTGCAGAAACCACACGCTGATCACATATCTTTACTTTGTCATATATGGTTATCTTCTTACGTAATTTATCCAGTGATTCACAAAAGGCTAGAGAAGTGGCAGCACCCGTTTTGTCTTGGAGCCTACTCCCCATTGCACGAATTACACCAGAATCCGCTAAAATATTTTGATTTGAAATAACACACAAAGCGATAAAATATTGTAATGTGGTTTCATCAGTCGATCTTTGTCTTTCTTCCAGTTGTTTAATCACGTCCGTCACTTTTCGTTCAAAAACCGATAGCAGCTCCGAAAAGTAATTAATCGACGTGTTTTATATCAATGACGTTATTTATGCTTGTTCTCGT